GCACCTCACGTGCCAGTGAGCACCTCACGTGCCAGTGAGCACTGAGCAGCACAGGATATCTGAAAGACATTTCCCCTCGCTGGGGGGACACTTCCCCAGGGCCTGGCACCCAGCATGGTCTCTTTCAAAGCGCAGGCTCTGAAGCTGCCAAATTGTATGCTGGAATCTAGGTGCAACTGGGGGGGAGCCTACAGTGCCAGCTTTTTCCTCCTTCCCCCCTCCCTCCCCGAACCATGCCTCTTTTTGGCTCAGCCATGCCCGCCTGTTACGGTTGGCATTGGTGAGAACTTGATGGAAACCTGCACTTGATGGAAACATGACAGCATTTCCTCTCTGGGGCACTCTGAGGGAATAGACTCATAGACTTTAAGGTCAGAAGGGACCGTTATGATCTTCTAGTCTGACCTCCTGAAAAACGCAGGCCACAGAATCTCACCCACCCACTCCTGTAACAAACTCCTGACCTATGTCTGAGCTATTGAAGTCCTCAAACCATGGTTTAAAGACTTCAAGGTGCAGAGACTCCTCCAGCAAGTGACCCGTGTGCCACGCTGCAGAGGAAGGTGAAAAACCCCCAGGGCCTCTGCAAATCTGCCCTGGAGGAAAATTCATTCCCAACCCCAAATATGGTGATCAGCTAAACCCTGAGCATGTGGGCAAGACTCACCAGCCAAACATCCAGGAAAGAATTCTCTGTAGTAACTCAGATCCCACCCTATGTAGTGTCCCATCACAGGCCATTGGGCATATTTACCGCTAATAGCCAAAGACCAATTAATTGCCAAAATTAGGCTATCCCATCATACCATCCCCTCCATAAACGTATCAAGCTTAGTCTTGAAGCCAGATATGTCTTTTGCCTCCACTGCTCTCCTTGGAATGCTATTCCAGAACTTCACTCCTCTGATGGTTGGAAACCTTCGTCTAATTTCAAGTCTAAACTTCCTGATGGCTAGTTTATATCTATTTCTTCTTGTGTCCAAATTGGTACTGAGCTTAAATAATTCCTCTCCCTCCCTGGTACTTATCCCTCTGATATATTTATAGAGAGCAATCGTATCTCCGCTCAGCCTTCTTTGGGTTAGGCTAAACAAGCCAAGCTCTTTGAGTCTCCTTTCATAAGACAGATTTTCCATTCCTCGGATCATCTTAGTATATCTTAGAATAATTTGACCTCTCCGAACTATGTAGCAGGGGGTAAATGGGGCTGAAATGTGATGTTTTACTACATTCTATTGTATTCTCATGATCGCCGATAGCTGCATTCCAGGAAAAGATGCTGGTTTTGCAAGGGCTTATGGTCACTCTAATAAGAATTTTACGTCTTTCGGGAGACCAAGAACACTCAAATGCAGCGTGCTACTGTGGCACAGATGCAGCCTATAGCATGGTCTGAAGTTGCGGAGAGAGACTGAAATGCTTCCCACCCACAGGGAGAAATCGAATTTGGAAGTGAATCTTCCAAAGCATCAAAATGACTTTTGGCCATTTCATCCATTTATTCACAATGCAAATTGATGACATCAAAACCAGTATTTTTGTGACCATCAGCTGCAGTGACTTAGCAGCAAGCACTGATGTCCTCATCCCTAAGGATGAGAATTCTGGGGTGTGGAGTGACTGCCCTGCATGATGATGATGCTGGCACTTGGCCTACAACCAGTGTAATGGGCCACAAGAACATCACCTGCAGGGACAGAATTGCCTTTCTCCAGCTGCCTATATGGGGGCATGGCTGGAACTGAGAGCCTGGTTTTGGACCTCCAACTGTAAAGTCAAGCCCGCTCCGATACATTCAGTGTCACACTCTGTATTAAAGTTACATTTATAGTGTATAAAGAGTTAATAAGTGTTTTAATATAAGGCTAACAATTGACTAACCAACCTTAAGTACTTTTCTGGCATCTATCACTGTAATAGGTTAGTGCCTCACAATCTTAGTGCCTTTAACCTTCCCATCCCTGTGACTAGAAAAGTGCTGTTATCCCCCTTTGCAGGTCAACCGGTTACTTAAACACCTTCTGCTGATCTGATTGCCCTCTGTAGCATATTCCTCATGTCTGTAACAGTCTGAGAACACCTGTTAATTGTTTATCCACCCTTTATAAATGGAAACTTAATATAAAGTGACCACGTTTTGCAAGATCAGGGCAGCTGTTCAATTTTTTCACTCTCATATTTAAAACCCCTGTAGTTCTAGGTTACCCTTCTTGACTGTTACTATTTCATCAAAACCTTTTCTAATGCAAACTAGGCCTTCGTTGGTCTTGTTTAGTCAGGCGAAGCAGCCCTGATCCCCTGTTCTTTCATTTTCTTTTGGACAGAGGCTGGCTTGTAAGGCTTATTCCCCACTGATTGTTTGGAGAAGGGAGGGAGACCAGCAGCCCCCAATTCCAGCTCCTGCCAGTCTGATCCAACCTCAAGAACCAGAAGTTAAATACAAGAGAAGTGTCAGACGAAGGAGCCTGGGACTGTGGTTTTCAAAGCCAACTTTAAAAAAAAAAAAACAAAAAAACCCACACCATAGAATTGCTTGTTCCGATATCGAATCCGATATGCATTGTGGCGAGTACTTCAGTACTTCCTAGCAGTCCTGATTACTGGTACATTACAAGGTTGGGCATTCAGTCATCTCTTAGCTAACTGCTAAGGCTTTCTGTGGCACTCATTGTTTCTGAGCGCCACTTATACGTATGTCAGTCCATCCATCCTGCTGGTGTTTCTCTATTAAAATAATTAATAGACATAAAAATAAGTAAACTTCTATACTCCCCAAAAGAACAATATTTAAAGAAGAGCGCCTTCTTCCAAACTAAGTGATTTTGGGTTAATGCTTCTAGCTGAAATCTGTTCAGTTGTCATTTTAAGAACCATTAACCAACTGTCGAGCAGTAGTTAAGAAAAGAACCATTACTTGCCATTTAAAATGGGCAAACTACTATTTTAGAATCACCAATGTCTCAGCTTTCCCTGGAAGGATTCTACTCTGGTACTCAGCGTTTGTCCTCAGCAGACCTGAACAAGTGTTCTGCTGCAACAGCGTTTGGTTTGGGTTTTTTAGTGCTTAAAGAGAACTTGAATAGCAGCAAGATTAAGAAGCATGATACTCTGGTACTTTCATCATTCCACTGAGTGGCCAGCAGTGTGAGGCTGCCAGATGAGGACAGCTCTTATCTACTGTAGCTGAGGAAGGAAAGGACTGAGATTCCATTGCTGTTTTATCCCAACAGCTCTACAACTTCCATTGTCCGTTTGAGATTTCTCAGGGACATGGATCAATAGCACTTCCCAGTTTCTCTGCTGTGTACTCTAGGAGGATTTGTTCAGGGACGTTTCTAGAGGTTACATGGCAAGGGCTGGCACTGGAGTTAAAAGGGTGTGATGGAAAGCCTAGATAAAGGAGACGGGGGTCTGTATAATTAGTTCTTGCTCAACGTGGATGAAGCATGAAGAAAATGGCTGGGTTGGGAAGTGAGCGGAGCCTTGGTTCCACCCCAACACTCCTACCAGCTGAGCCAGTGCAAGGGTAAGTTGCACCGTAAGAAGGGCTATGGTAAAACACCCCCTGCCCCTGAAGCAGGGAGGGAGTTGTGCCTGAGTCACACATCCCTCAGCTGCATGCCACCCCTTACACAGGGCTGGGAGGAAGCTGTCTAGCCAGTCCGACTTGTGCAGTTGTCAGCATTTTTCATGTTTCCACGCCTTTTCAGAGGATCTGCTGCAGAGAGCACTACAGGGTGGCTTGTTTCTTTTGATGGACTCCACGTCTTGAGTGTTTGAGCTGCGCTCTGCAGTAGTCCAGGCTACAGCAAACGCCTTTCTTGCCGGAGTGCAAAGCTCCCGGCATTCAAAAATCATGAGATTTAAAACTCTCCCACCTGCTTTCTTCGACTTCAAATTCAGCCTCAGATGTGCACGCACACATTTCAGGCCTCTCCACTGGCCCTTTCCTGACCTCTGCCATTCTGTCCCCATCCCTGCACCTCTCGTAGTGTCCCTCCATGGTGCCCTAGAGGTTTTTTTCCCCACCAAGCATCATAGTTACTTTCCCTTCCTCCTCTCCTACCCATCATTTCTCTCTCTTGTCTCCCTGCCTCCCAAGTGTGCCTCCTGCTCCCACTCCTTCCTCTGTACCACCACAGCTCCACAGATCTCTTCTCTCCCCTCCTCCATGTTTCGAATACTGGGCAGGGCTGATATGCCACCTCCTTCAAAGTGTAAGTCATGTCATCGCTGCATTTGGGGTTGTACGTGAGACATCTCATCTGTGTCCCTTTACACTGTCTGGGGGAGCCATCTGCCTCTCCTCCCAGCCCTTCTGAAGTCACTATTTCCAGTTCACTACCTAAATGTCAGTGATCTCCCAAGAGCACTCTGTTCCCACTCTGGGCCTGGGCTTTGTTTGCGCTGTGTGTCTCACTCAGGGTGTAAGCTCCTTGTGGCAGGGGTTACCTGTTCTTGTGCATGTGTGTGTCTGGTGCTACACAAGTAAGGTGTCATGGCTTGTTAACCCATGGCAGGCTAACTGCTTTAGTGATTCTGGGATTTGCAAGGTATGCCACTCGACTGCAAAGTGGGACTCGTGAAGGCAATGTGTTCCGAGAGCTTCAGTTATTAGTAAGTAACCTGCAGGTCTCTGTATTGCTGGTGATGTATGTTGTGGCACGGGTTCATTTCTTTGCAGTAGGAGGTCATGTGTATGAGCGTAGCTACTGCCATGTCATTAAAGCATGTTTCTCTCTCTACAAAAAACAGCGAGGGAGTGGGGGTGGGGGAGGAAGCTTCCCATTTTATTTTAAGAAGATTCCTGAGGAGGTACAATGCTCCCCAGCCAGTGTGGGCTCTCAGAATATTGTCGGAGGGATGCTGAGAGAAGAAATAGAATTGGCGCTTGCACATTTTCAGTTCCTGCTGCATGCTTGATTGAAACAGTAACGTGAATTTTTTGTCTCAGCATTGAAAGAACTCCTTATTAATCACTCTCTCCTCGTTGCTTCTAGCCCTGATGAAGAATCGTCCCAGAAGTTCATTCCCTTTGTTGGGGTGAGTATTTACTTTGATGTGCAGGTTAAAGTTTGGTGAATTTCATAAAACAAGGTTGATTATTAACAATCTCACTTGAATCCATAAATTCTAAAGCCCAAAAGGGATGATTAGATCATCCAGTCTGACATTCTATGGCATAACACAGGCCATAGATTTTCACGTAGTTACCCCTGTCCTGAATCCAGTGCTTGTCTTTGACTAGAGCAAATCTTCCAGAAATGCACCCACTGAAGACTTCAAGAGATGAAGAATCTATCACCTATCAGCCCATCTCCTCTTTAAAAAGTGAAACTTACCAGTAAAGCCCTTCCTGAAATTGAGCTGAGGATTTACCTGGAAAACTGTTCAAGTTGAGAAAAGTTTTACTCTTTTCTCTCTGCAACCAACTCTTGGCATTTCATATTACACATTTGTGTACCACTTTACCTGTAGCTGCACAGAATTGTGTGGTACCTAGTTCGTGGTAAATAGAATCATAGGACTGGAAAGGATCTCGAGAGGTCATCTAGTCCAATCTCCTGCACTCATGGCAGCACAAAGTATTATCTAGAGTTTAGACCATTCCTGACAGGTAAATAAATGCCCTAAAATGAGAAGTGTTATGCAAAGCAAATCTAATGCTCAGAAAAGCAAGTCTTTATTTAAATAAACTTTTAAGTATAAAATTGAATCACTTTTTAAAGCCAGGACACACACAGTTAACAGCCTCAAATGTTACCCTGCCAGCATAATATTGCATATAAAGGAATTTAACTTTTATTCAAATTTTTTTACACAATAATCTCAAAATGAAAACATGCCCTTTTTGAAAAAGAAACCTACAAATTATATAGCTGCATTTTTTAAGGCTCTTTAAAAGGGAGTGGAGGGTGGATTAGCCCATCCCCTCATTGTTTTGTTCGCCCATTAGGCCTAATTTCCAAGACACCAATTTTGGTCCATTGATTTCCAGTCCCACACTTGTTTGAGTTATGCCTGGTACAATCCTGGAGTTATATCAGCATTCCTTTTTAGCTGTCCCCTTTTGCATCTTTTCCCACCAGCACTTGTTGCAGGTTATTGTGACCCTTCATGAATTTTCATTCACTTTCCACAGTTGAGCTCACAGTTAGGTTAAATGTGTAGGCCTGGTTATCAGAACAGACCACACTGAAAACACGCCCATTGGGGTGGCAATTCCCACATAGAATTTCTTTTGAGGCTCTGTTGAATCTTTTTAAAATCCATTAATATGTTGAACTAATAGGACTAGTTATTGAGTGGTACTAGGCCAAACACTTTAAAGAGGCCCAAGTATATTATCATAATGCAGGTACCCTTATCAACCAAACTTACAACTTCATCCAAAAATTCAAGTTTGACAAAGAGCTATTTTCCTTTAACTCAAGCTGGTTTTGGAATTCTTTGTATGAAATCTGCTAACCTTCCAGTTTTCTCAGTACTAGTGTTTTAATGTTCAAAACATGTGACTGAGAGCTGGGTGACTGTGGCCCAACATCCAGCCTATATCTAAATCTTGCATTTCTTTCTGCATAACATCTCTAAGATCCAGCCTTTCCCCTCCTATCCATCCACACAGCTAAAGTTCTTCTCCAGGCTCTCATCTCATGTTTTGATTACTGCAACATCCTTCTCTCTGGCCTTGGCAAGATTGCATTTGTCCTGCTGTTACCCATTCAGAATATTGCTGCAAAAATCATTTCCTAGTTCATCACTAATCATGTCATCCCCCTCTCTTTTTAATCCTTGCCCTGGCTCCCCCTTCTCTATCATGTCAAACACAAGCTTTCCTTCTCCACTTTCTAGGCCCTGCAGTCAATCCCCAACCTATCAGCTCTCGTTTGCTATTGAGCTGTCAGTGCTCTTCTATTGGCCCGTGATACCAACCTCCAGTGCCCACTTGTTAGATGTTCCCACTGGCACCTTTGTACTGTCTCCCATGCTGCCCCTCGCGCCTGGGAAGAGCTCTCTCATGAACATCCGAAACCCTACCTCCTTCTCCACCTTCGACTCCCTCGTCAGAACTCTCCTTGGTCCTGAGGCCCACAAAGAACTTGACAGCCACTAAGTGGTTGGTGTGCAGAAACCATTGCTTATTATGCTGACCAATATTGTCTCATTGTTTACTTGTACTACACTGTCTGCCTAAACTGATGTTATCTCTGATCTTGCACTTAGATCATCAGCTCCTTTGGGTAGGAGGTGCCATCTTTTTGTTCTGTATGTACAGCACCTAGCACAATGGGGTCCTGGTCCATGATCCAGGCTCCTGGGTGCTATGGCTAAATTCTTAGTGAATAAGTCGCTATTCCCCTTACCCTGCCATTGTAGGCATGCTGAGAGAAATAGAAACTTTTGTGTTGCCTGACCTTCTGGTGCTCTGATTCTCTTGCTGATGTGTTTCATAGCAATCGAGCAAACTTGCCTTTCTAGGGTTATTTTTTTCTTGCTTAGGTTATTCAATCCTCTAACGTTTAAGGTTATAAAATTAAAAGGATTTATGCCTGAAAGGTTGACCTGTTGATTTCTCTTCAGCCACTAGATGTCTCTAGTGGTTTTTGTTGTATTCTAGTATCGGCGATAGCCGTGTTAGTCTGTATCTACAAAAACAACCAGGAGTCTGGTGGCACCTTAAAGACTAACAGATTTATTTGGGCATAAGCTTTTGTGGGTAAAAACATCACTTCTTCGGATGCATAGAGTGAAAGTTACAGATGCAGGCATTATATACTGACACATGGAGAGCAGGGAGTTACTTCGCAAGTGGAGAACCAGTGTTGACAGGGCCAATTCAATCAGGGTGGATGTAGTCCCCTCCCAGTAATGGATGAGGAGGTGTCAATTCCAGGAGAGGAAAAGCTGCTTCTGTAATGAGCCAGCCACTCCCAGTCCCTATTCAAGCCCAGATTAATGGTGTTAAATTTGCAAATGAATTTTAATTCTGCTGTTTCTCTTTGAAGTCTGTTTCTGGAGTTTTTTTGTTCAATGATAGTGACTTTTAAATCTGTAATAGAATGACCAGGGAGATTGAAGTGTTCACTTACTGGCTTATATATGTTACCATTCCTGATGTCCGATTTGTGTCCATTTATTCTTTTGTGGAGGGACTGTCCGGTTTGGCCAATGTACATGGTAGAGGGGCATTGCTGGCACATGGTGGCATATATAACATTAGTGGATGTGCAGGTGAATGAGCCCTTGATGGTGTGGCTGATGTGCTTGGGTCCTCTGATGGTGTCGCCAGAGTAGATATGGGGACAGAGTAGGCAACGAGGTTTGCTACAGGGATTGGTTCCTGGGTTGGTGTTTCTGTGGTGTGGTGTCTAGTTGCTGGTGAGTATTTGCTTCAGGTTGGGGGGTTGTCTGTAAGCGAGGACTGGCTTGGAAGCTTCCATCCAAGACACATCACACGATCCATTGTCTAGCCAAGCCTAGCCACGCACTAAGACACAACCGAATTTGCTCCAACCCCTCAGACAAACACCTATAAGATCTTTATCAAGCATTCGTAAAACTACAATACCTACCTGGGGAAGTGAGGAAACAGATTGACGGAGCAAGACGGGTACCCAGAAATCACCTACTACAGGACAGGCCCAACAAGGACAATAACAGAACACCACTGGCCATCACATGCAGCCCCCAGCTAAAACCTCTCCAGCGCATTATCCACGATCTACAACCTATCCTGGAAAATGATCCTTCGCTCTCACAGACCTTGGGAGGCAGGCCAGTCCTCGCTTACAGACAAAATTGGACATCAGGAATGGTAACATACATAAGCCAGTAAGTGAACACTTCAATCTCCCTGGTCATTCTATTACAGATTTAAAAGTCACTATCATTGAACAAAAAAACTTCAGAAACAGACTTCAAAGAGAAACAGCAGAATTAAAATTCATTTGCAAATTTAACACCATTAATCTGGGCTTGAATAGGGACTGGGAGTGGCTGGCTCATTACAGCAGCAGCTTTTCCTCTCCTGGAATTGACACCTCCTCATCCATTACTGGGAGGGGACTACATCCACCCTGATTGAATTGGCCCTGTCAACACTGGTTCTCCACTTGCGAAGTAACTCCCTGCTCTCCATGTGTCAGTATATAATGCCTGCATCTGTAACTTTCACTCTATGCATCCAAAGAAGTGATGTTTTTACCCACAAAAGCTTATTCCCAATAAATCTGTTAGTCTTTAAGGTGCCACCAGACTCCTGGTTGTTGTTGTATTCTAGTATCTTCCCTTGCTTTTTATGGGGGAGGGGGGGAGTGACTAGTTCTTCCTCCTCCTGACCATCTGAAGTCAGCTTTTGTGTGTTTTGTGTAGATCAGTAGTACTTCCAGGTGTAAGTGTCAAAGTCCCAAACGCCTTAGAGCTCTTAGCAGGTCTTATCCTAAGGCTGACCTCTGGTTCAGGTTGACCTTGCTTTCACCTTCATGACTTTCTCTGTCCTAAGATGTAGCCTTCCCAGGAAATCTGCCTTTGCAGCTCTACTGTTGATATACTCCATTATTAACTAAGGTACTAATCTCCCTGAGACTGTGAGGTGAATTACACTGACTTTTCCAAACTGACAAGTATTCTCATGACTTTGAGTGTCAAGCAAGCTCTGGGATCAATGAATTTTTCTGAGTCATGGCTTACTACTGGGTGTGTGTCCTTATGTGAAGTGTTTCAGCTCTCCTAATGAAAGGGAGAGGAGCTAAGATATTAGGCTTGAAGTGGTATGAACCCCGCACACAATACAACTTTCAGGTTTTTATAAAGGTCTCCTCTTGACTTAAGTTTAGTTCTCATTGCAATCTGCCAAATAAAGTTTGAAGAATACTGGTTCAGCAGTTCTCACATTGACTGATTTTAAATGAGCATTGCTTCTCTATTTTATATATGGGTGAAGAACATTCTCTCTCTTGAAAAAAGATGAAAACTTTCTATTTTGCATTCATAAAACTGCCAAGTTGAAACACACTAACTTGTTATTTATGAGCCCTTGGCACACTCTTTAGCCTCAGGGCCCTGGTCACACTCAAATTTAGGTAACTACATCCTGCTGTCCTGATTTCCCCCTCCAATTTCATAGATTAAACCCACAAGGAACCATTATGATCATGGGCCACAGAATTTCCCCTTGCAGTTCCTGCCTCAAGCTCAATAACTTGCAGGTGAACCAGAGAACATATTTTTAGAAAGAAATCCAATGTGGATTTGAAAGCCCTGAATTGATGGAGAATCCATGCCATTCTCTGGTAAGTGGCTGCAGGGATTGCCACCCTTACCTACAAAAACTTGTGGCTTTTTCCCAGTATGAATTTATGAAGTTTCCACTTTCAGCAAGTGGGTCGTTTTATCCCTTTGCTATCTTAGGGTATGTCTGCGCCAGAAACACTACAGCATCACAGCCGTAGTGACGGAAAGGGTGCTTCCCTTCCTGTGGTAAATCCACCCCTATGAGGGCTGGTCTCCACTTGAAATGCAGTGGCACAACTGCAGCGCTTCAGTGGAGACCCCACCTACGCCAACAGGACAGATTCTCCTGTCGGTGTAGGTAATCCATTTTACGAGAGGGGGTTGCTAGGGTGATAGAAGAATTCTTCTGTGACCTAGCGCTGTCTACACTGGGGGATAGATCAGCATAACTACGTGTCTCAGGAGTGTGAATTTTTCATACCCCCAAGTGACATAACTAGGTCAAAATAACTTTCTGGGGTAGACCAGCTCTTTGAGTCCTGTACTATTTATGTACTTCGACCATGTTCAAGTCATCTCTTAATCTTCTTTTTGTTAAGCTAAATAGATTGAACTGGTTTAATTTTTCACTGTACAGCAGGTTTCCAGGCTTCAACATCCTTCTTGTGGCTCTTCTCTGAACTCTTTTTAGTTTGTCGATATCCTTTTTGAAGTCAGACAACAGCACTGGATATAATATTCTAGTAATGGTTTTGCCAATGTTATATACAGAGGTAATTACACATCACCTATGTTCCCCTGCTTATACATCCAAGCATCATCTTAGCCCCCTTAGCCACAGTGTTGCAGTGCTGTCTTGATTTTTCTATGATTTTTTAAATCAATGTTATGTGCTACTAAGATACAGATGTGCAAGAACGTTATGTCAACACAACTCTCTCAAATCAAATTAGCTTAATCAAGAAACAATTCCAAGTTTGTTTGAAAAGGCCTGTTTTTCATAAAACTTAACTGGCATTTAATTCTGCTACCATCTTTAATTCTTTACTGATTGCCTTATTTAACCGTTCTATTATTGATTCCCAGCATTGATGTCAAGCTAATTGGCCTATAGTTACCCAGATGACCCCATTTACCCATTATAAATATTGGCACGACACTACCTTCCTTCCTCTGGAACTTCCCTAAAGTTCCAAGTTTATTTAAAATGAGCATTGAGTGTTCATTTTGTTCCTTGGCCAAATCTTTTATAACTGTTGGATGCAAGTTATATTGTCCTGCTGATTTTTAAACATTTTTAGCTTTAGAAGATGCTGTTTAACAGCCTCCTTAATTAATGTTTGTTTGGAAAGTGTTTCATCACTGTATATGAATACATCACCTGGCTTCTTTCCAAATACAGAGCAGGAATAGTTATTGAATGCTTCTTCTGCCTTATCTGTATCAGACAGTTTTATCATCTCACCTAGTGATAAATTCCTGATAAATTTAAAAAACATATTGTCCTTAACCTACTAGTCATAGATTTTTTTCATTGACATGTTTAGCTTTCTTTATCTTGTATTGCATTTCATAACTTCTGATTTATATTTATTGCTGTTAACTTTTCCTTTTCCCCATTTGTTATACTTTGTCTTTATTTTGTATTGCTGCTTTCACTTCCCTGCTAAACTAGGATTCTTTCATCAGTGAAGCCATCTTAAATGATTGTGGAATTGCGAATCAGATCATGTTCACTTGCACTTAGGTAACCACTGATTCTTAGTTCAGTGATCAATTCATCTTTATCCATCAGAATGAGAGGTCTAGTGTAGAATTAACTGGTGTTGGTTGCATTAATTCTGGTGCTAGAAAATTATCATTTAGATACTGTTTTCTTCCTGGCTATCTCATAGTGTTGGGGTAAACTGTTAAACAGAAACTGTGTTACACCCCAGATGTGGCTGCATTTCGATGGTAGTTGAAGTGGTGTAGCCAAAAATGATTATCTGTTATCTTTCTGCTCCCATTCCTGTTTCTAGGAGCAGCAGGGGACCGGTATGGTCTGTGGTATAAGTCTGAGCAGTCTCAGGGTTGATTCAAGTTACACTGGCTGATAAGTATCCCTAGGTTCCATGCCGCCTTTACAGGGAGACGGGACTGTTGTTAAGTTAGTATAGCTGGTTGTATGCCAGTCGGGGATTTCTATCCCCAGTAGAGTACTCCACTGCCTATTTGCACCATCTTTCTGGCCCTTTTGCATCACCAGAGTGATGGGAAAGGAATTTGTGAGTCTGAGCCTCTCGCTCACAGTTTTTCAAGTGATGGAGCCAACCAATACATATAAACTCAATTGTGTTTTCCATTCCAGGTGGTAAAGGTTGGAATAGTGGAACAGTCCTCAGCAACATCAGGTAATAGAACCTTTGCTTGCTTTTCATTGCTGTCGGTAGCATTCCAGATTGGAGCTGTAATATGAGAATGCCTGAATGCATGGGTTTAGTGGCGCAAGATCGGAGTTAGCAAGCATGTTAGGGCTTGTTGACAGGGAAAAAAGTTATACCGGTATAAGGTAGGGTGTGAATTTAAAGTGCTAAACTCCCCATGTGGATGTACTATTCTGGTATACTATTTTTTCTGGTTTAGTTTGTCACTTTGGAAGCAGTTTAAGTTTGGCAGAAAAAATCCACTCTTATCCCAGAGTAAGTGTGTTCACATGGGGTGTTTATGCTGGTATAACTGGAAAAATTTCTATGTAGACAACCACTAAAAAAAAAAAAGTGCAACATCGGTGTAAACTTGAATTCAGTGCATGGGTTCATTTGACATACATAGTAATAAGGTTCAGAGTTTGTTTCCTGATTAAATCTGTACATCACTTATGCACTTGGAGGACTGTAGCTCAGATTCTAGCAGCCTGTTTTGCTGTCACCATCTCATTGCAGTCCTCCAGCAGAAATGGGAGTGGAGGATATTGGCTAAAATTGTCTCTCACACAAGAACTATATAAAAAGAACACTATTAAGGTTACAAAAGCAAGCACTCCAACGGAATTAGGGATGTCCATGCAACCTTAATTCAGCCCCTTGTGGGTCTGCATTGATAGTCTTCAATTACATGATCACATACTATTTTTTCCCACAGGATCTGCCTTATTCAGTGCACAGGATGGACAGCTATTCAATGTTTTACTCCTGGGTGTTCAACATGAGGCCTCAGACTTTATGTATTGCACACTATTCAAACCCTGCACTGAAGACAGAATTACTCATTTTCAAGTTGGCTTTTCTATGGTGCTCATCACCAGTAGTATCTGAGTGCTTCACGAACATAAATTAATCTTCATGACACCCCTGTGAGGTGAGGGGGTATTGTCCCCATTTACAGATGGAGAATCGAGGCACAGAGATTAACATCTGAAGTATCCACTAATTTTAGCTGCCCAATTTGAAATGCGCAGGATTTTTCAGAGTACTTGCCATTATATAGCACTTTATATGTTGTATGCACATCTCCCATTGACTTCATCTGCAGCTGTGAGTGCTCAGCGCTTCTGCAAATCAGACCTCATGGTTTCAAGTTGGGCCCCAGAAAATGAGGAACACCCAATTAGTGATCACCTATGGAAAGACTGGTTTAAGTGACTTGTGCAGCATTATATAGTACTCTGTGGCAGGGATAGAATCCAGTTCTCTAGGGCAGTATTTGAGTGCCTTAATCATGAGACTGTCCTTTCTCTTCCTACAACCCCCTTCCTCATTCAGTACACTCCTTCCAAATTCTGTAACAAATGGAGCAGAGGCGCTACAGACAACAGCCTCCTTCACTACACAGCCCTGATTCATGCCCAGAGCAGGCCCATCCTGTGCACTGAATGAAGTCGGGGTTTTGTGGAAAAAATAGTATGTGAGCACTGCTCAGTACCAGTCTCCCTCCTTGGGGGTACTTGTCCAATCTCAGTCCCCTCCACTCCAGCTTCTTGTTCAAGTCTTTGCCCCGCTGTATCACTTCTCTCCCAGTACACTGGCTCCTCGTCAGATCTGTCTCCTCCTCCTGCTTCTCCTCCTTTCTCCTGCCCACTGGTTCTTAGTCCCAGTCTCCCCATGGTCGTCTTGTTATCTTGGTCTTGCTCCCAATGCCCAACCCCCATCTAGTTTCCCTCTCTGGCTCCCAGTCTCCTTTGTCACCTTGGCAATCTCCTCCTCCCCAGGCTCCTTGTCCCAATCTACTCCAGGTCCCCTCTGCACTCAAATCAGGCAGCTTCCTCCTCCATGCTGCCTGGGCTCAGCAAGTGGTCATCTGCTCTCAGTTCAGGTGCCCAGACCTGGCACAGTTCAGAGCTGCAGCTCCAGGGATAGTCCTGCTCACCTTTGAGCTGGAGCATGCTCAGTGCAGATGGAATGTTCAGGGAATTTAGCTGTGAAAAATCAAAGATTTCTTTGAGCAAACTGAAATTTTCAAAGGGTTCTAACTTGGTCAAATTTGGGCAGATTTTCATGGGAAAAGCAAATGACACCTCCCTGATACAAAAGCCAACCCCTACTAATTTTTAAGTCCCTTTTCCAAAGCATGGGGATACTAGAGCTCTTCAGAGAAAGTTGCCAGAACTTCCTATCGTGAGGAAACATACATTTGTTCCTAACCTTATTCTCTGAAACCGTTGAGCCATTTTGTCTGAAAATTTCCTCTCCCCTCCCTCCCTCTCCCCCCCACACCAAACAAAACAAAAAACAACAACAACAACAAAACGGACACCTGGCATGGAAAGTTTCAGCCCTAGCAATTAGTTTGGCAAAGTTACAAGCAACTGAAAACAGACTGATAATGGTAAATGTTGGCTAACCTTAATATAGGTGGTGCCGTCAGCTTCCTAGGTATATGGTGGCATGTTGGGCTCTTCATGTATGAGCTTGGGATGGTCACATTACAACAACTACCAATATCATCTGTACATCGCTGCCCTGACACACACTGTTACCTTAGGAAAGTTTTAGTCTGCTTATTCATAGATTCTAGGACTGGAAGGGACCTCGAGAGGTCATAGAGTCCAGTCCCCTGCCCTCATGGCAGGACCAAATACTGTCTAGACCATCCCTGATAGACATTTATCTAACCTACTCTTAAGTATCTCCAGAGATGGAGATTCCACAACCTCCCTAGGCAGTTTATTCCAATGTTTAACCACCCTGACAGTTAGGAACTTTTTCCTAATGTCCAACCTAAACCTCCCTTGCTGCAGTTTAAGCCCATTGCTTCTTGTTCTATGCTTGGAGGCTAAGGTGAAAAAGTTTTCTCCCTTCTCCTTATGACACCCTTTTAGATACCTGAAAATTGCTATCCTGTCTCCTCTCAGTCTTCTCTTTTTCAAACTAAACAAACCCAATTCTTTCAGCCTTCCTTCATAGGTCATGTTCTCAAGACCTTTAATCGTTCTTGTTGCTCTTCTCTGGATCCTCTCCAATTTCTCCACATCTTTCTTGAAATTCGGTACCCAGAATTGGACACAATACTCCAGTTGAGGCCTAAACAGCGCAAAGTAGAGCAGAAGAATGACTTCTCGTGTCTTGCTCACAACACACCTGTTAATGCATCCCAGAATCATGTTTGCTTTTTTGCAACAGCATCACACTGTTGACTCATATAGCTTGTGGTCTACTATAACCCCTAGATCCCTTTCTGCCGTACTCCTTCCTAGACAGTCTCTTTCCATCCTGTATGCGTGAAACTGATTTTTCCTTCCTAAGTGGAGCACTTTGGATTTGTCTTTGTTAAACTTCATCCTGTTTACCTCAGACCATTTCTCCAATTTGTCCAGATCATTTTGAATTATGACCCTGTCCTCCAAAGCAGTTGCAATCCTGCTAAATTACTGGGACTGTTTCTTGTATCCCTCCACCAGTAAAGCCACATGCCTTGTTACCATGGTCTGGACTGGCCCTAGACCTGTGCATGGAGGGAACCCTACATATGTGGGTCTCCTTCCTACACCACAGGACTCTGCCATGTACCTGGCACTATCCTGTCCCACCCCATCCCTCTGGAGGCTTCTCTGCAAGGCCTAAGGGAGTGAGTTCAGGAGGGCTAAGGCAGGTGGAGTGAGGGGAACAGGTGGGGAGAAGATGTGAATATTAGTCAAAAATAATACAACACCAGCCTATATTTATTCTCTCCAGCTCCCTGTGCCCATGGCGCTGGGTGCTGGAGTTCCACAGAGGCCCACAATCTTAAGGTGGATGGCTTTGTCCTCTCGTATATCCCCTTAGCTCTGCCAGGCTTGGTTTCTTCTGCAGAGGACAAACCATCCCCATTGCGACACTTTGGGAGGAGGCCTACAAGAGGATCCTCAGACTTCCTCTGGCCATTCCCACAGGACTTTGTGATGCTTCCTTGGGTACCCAGGGCTGTAAGGCACCTCGCTACCATGTGGCTTTAGTGTGAGAAGCAGTGTCTGTGCCTGCCAGTGATCAGCTCCCCAACTCCACTGACCCTGGGCAGCACCAGCCCTGCCCTCTGGCCCACTGTCACTCTTCAGGTTAGCAATTGGCACACTCCTGCGTCCTCTGAGCATCTACCTGGAGTGTCCAACCCCTGCTCCATTGGACACTTGCAGCATTCACAGATTCTCTGTCTCAAAGGAACAGCGCACCCCTGTTTATCAGTTCCACCTCCATTCACACATACACACACACACCCGCTTCACACACAGCACTTAGACAGGGTTATAGTGAAAGCAAGTATACGTTTATTTAACAAAGGATGGAGATGCAAGTAGAAGGGTTACATATACAATAAAATCATAACGTACCTTCTAGAGCCTAGAGTTAATGAACAAGAGACTCTTGTGTCTTGCAGAGTATTGCTCACCCCAAATCCTTGCAGCGCTTTATAGCCAGGCATGGCTGTGATCCCCCTTTCCCGAGACAAGCATGTTTGTCAGTTTGCCTCCTCTGTGAACTATTTAGTGTGTCCCTTTTGCGCTTCAAGATATACCAGACCAATCCAATGTCTGTGTTTTGTCAATAGGACATCCTCCTGCTGTTTGTTCCTTCCTCTAGGTTTTGCAATCTCTGACTTGGCGCCTGGTTCAAATAGGCCTACAATGTGTGGCATAAATACACAGTACACAAATGGCCAGATGGGGGGAGAGGCCTGTTTTGCCTGCATGAAAGGAATTATCTCCAAGGTCTGGCACCTCCTGGTAACCTGCCTCAACTCCAAGACCTTAAGAGCATAATTTTCAGTATAGATACATAGCTCCTTTACCCTTATCCATACACACATTTCACAATGATTATGGCAACTAGTGGGCTGCTGGCTCTCAGTAGAGATCTCACATGCCACCCTTCAGTGAACTATTATGCAGATACCTAACCCTGGGGATCCCTGTGCACCCCCGGACCCTCTGCCAGTTGGC